TGCTATAGGGTTTCCTGTCTAGGCAGGGGGTTGGACTAGGAGACCTCCAAGGTCCCTTCCAATTCTGTTATTCTATTCTATTCTATTTTGTAAAGGATACTGATGTGTAACTTAGTGCATAAATTAGCACAATATGTGATACAGAATTTAATTTAAAGCAAGGTCAGTTTCAATAGTTTACACATTTTTTAAAAAGGAAGGTACTTTGTATCAGCTCAGACTGTCAATCTAGCTTTCTAAAATTGGAGGCAGAGGTCTTTTCCCGTCAGCTGCTATCCAATCCTTTTAAATAAAGATGCTGGGGAAATCGAAATGTGTGACCTTCTGCCTGAAGAGTATGAGTGCAGCTGCTGAGCTGTTATCTTCCTAGAGTTGAGTAGAATGCAACAGAACCTGGAAGAATAAATGGAATATTCAATTTCCCTGAGTTTAAATATGAAGTCATAGAACTGGGTCTTTTGCTTGACTTTTGGCTGTGGTTGAAAGCAACAGTGCATCTCTTTCTGCAATCTTAGGCACGATTGATTTGGATAAAACGTTTCCATCAGTTTTGTCAGTTTAAAAGCGTTGAAAGCAACTGTATTTCAGCCTTGTCTTGTGGTTGCATCCCCTATTTCTCGGCAGCCAGGGAAGGGCTGATGGAGTGGAATGGTGTATGGAATGGCAGAGGTGTGTGTGTGTGTGTAGTGATTTCATGGCACGGTAAGCTCAGGAGGAGGATTCCAGCAGCATCCACAGAATGCCAAGCATAAGGTTTTATCCCTTCCCTATCCCTTCAGAAGGCGCAGACAACCTGAGGGATGGTCTCTGCGTAATATAAAAGAGGTAATATGTCTGCATAATGCAAAAGAAAAAAAGAGGTAGTGTGTTATATTTATCAAAATTTGTGAACCATAAAGATTCTCCTGTGATCATGGAGACAGCAGCCAGACTGGGTTTACTCCGTCCAGTAACCAGTTGGACTGAGTCTACACTTTACAATGTCATCCGGCCCTTGTGGCTCCTCCCCCAGTTCAGACTCAGTCCAACCAGGACTAGCAGTGAGAATTGATCTCTCCTCCAAATTTTAGCTTTATAGCATTAATTGGCGATTTTTTTCAAAAACACTTCCTTTAAATTGGCTTTTTAAATCATTATTTTCTTCTGACCAAATTGGAGGGAAATTCGAAACTGCTTCCAAGCTGCCTTTCTTCAGCCGTTCTGATTGCCTGCGGCCACGAGTTCACTCAGGAAGCCTGCCTTGCAGTCGGATTGGCCAGCTCATGAGCTACGGCTCCGTAGCTGTTTCTCCAAGGCGGTCCTGGACTCTAGGCACTCGAGGAGACGCGCGACCAGCCCTTTTGCGCACAGTGATTCCAGGGGAGGTTGGTGGCCCTTCTGTGGAGCGCCCGGCCACTTTGCGTGTCAGTGGCCATTTTGCAGGTCGAAAAAGCCCGCGAAGATAGCGGTGACCATTTTGAGGCTTGGAAAGAAAAAAAGTCAGCCATTTTGGACACTTTAAAAAAGGCACAAACTCTGCAGCAGCCGTTACAAGTGCCCAGCGACCCAGGATCATTCCAGGTGGACCAGATCAGAAGCGCCTGGCCATCAAACGGGTGAGACTGTTACCTATCTTTATTGTGGCTTGATCTATGTCGGGGAGATGGCTGACCAAGCTGTGTCTACACATAAGAGGATTAGAGGAGGCAGGGCCATCAGGGCGAAGAGGCAAGCCAAAGAGGCTCCTTCCTCAGAGGTAAATCCCAAGGTCTCTAAAGCCACTACCAGGGCAGAAGAACAAAGGCAGAAGGCTCTTGAGAAAGAATTTCAGAGGGCCCAAAAACAACAAGTTCTAACTGCCCAGCCCTCCTCCCAAGGGTCTCCAGGTTGTCTCCCCAGATCACCTGTCTTGCCTCCCATGGGCCCTTGCCCTTCACTGGCAGATTCAGATGGGGAATTGTCTTCTTCTGAGTTCTCTTCTTCTATAGAACCTGACAACAGAGGCAATTTCTTTAATGTCCCTCTCAATAGGGAATGCACCTTTGAGCAGGCTTCCCTCCCTATGATGCATGGTTCAGGGATTTCCCAAGCCATGTACACCTCTTCTGCAGTTATGGCAACCATCATTGCTGAAACCATCAAACATGGCTGCTGGCCTACAACAGTGCCCCCAACCTGCTCCATCACATAGCCACAAGCATAAATCGAAGGCTGCTCAACAACCTGATCCCTCTGCTTCTACTTCTCAGGCCTCGGTGATGAACAAGATAATCTGCGGGATTCAGATCTGTCTTGACGACGAGGTGGCCACTCCAGATGCCCTGGCCTTTGCCAGATTATTTAAAATCAAGCATTTTAAGTCCCTTAAAGCTGCTAACTTACCATCTTCTGCTTCAGCTTCTACTTCATAGGAAAAAACAGCAGAACTGGCTACAACTGAGGGTCCCAGTACCCCATTCACCGAACCTACTGTGGAAAAGGAGGTGATCCCTGTTCCCAAGATCTTCCTGAACATGATCCAGAAGCGGGCAGGGGTCCATAGCGAACCAACCTCGACAAACCTCTCTATAACATTGCACCAGAACTCACCAAATTCCTTGAGTCTTCCCCAGTGGACGTACCGGTTTCATCCCCTACTGTGGTCTCTGGAGCCCCTGAAGAGGTCCTCAAGCCTGAGGAGAAAAGGTCAGACGAAACCTTAGTCAAAAACTATCAGGCAGGGGCCTGGGCCATTAGGGCCTCCACTGCCACTTCCTTTTTCTCTAGAGTGGCCCTAGTCTGCATTGAACAGCTTCAGGAGCACATTTCTCCTACTGACACTAGATCACATAGGGACCTCAACAAGATTAGGGCAGCCGTTGAATATGCGGCTGATTCTTCTCTCAATACTGCCAGGTTCGCTTCCAAAGCCATGGTCTCTTCGGTCACGGCAAGGCATCTGCTTTGGCTCAAGCCATGGCAGGCAGATGTTCGTACCTCACAGAATCTAAAGACAAGTGCAAGGTCCTTTCATCCATCTATAAAAAACAGGATAGTCGTCCCGCTCCTTACTACAGGAGGTTGCCCTTTTGGCCAAGGAAACATTATTCTCCCATCTGCAACATCAGTCCTACACTCCCAGACAGGGATCTCACCAGGACAGATGTAACAGAAATGCACAGTGTTTCCCCACCCCCACCCCAAGAAGTTTTACCATGGAGGAAGCAACCGCCAATTTTCACGACGAAAATGACTCTATAGACACTCTTCCGATCAGAGGCTGCCTGGCGTTCTTTGCCCAACGCTGGGAAGAGACCACAACAGACAATTGGGTACTCAAAACTGTCAAATTTGGCCTCGTGCTGGAATTCCTCTCCATCCCCCAGGAACACTTCGTGCCCTGCCCGGTCTCTCAGTGTCCTTGCAAGAGGGCACTGATAGAACAGGCCATTCAGCACCTGTTGGAGATCCGGCCCATCCAACCGGTTCCTCCCCATCAGGAAGGGCAGGGTTTTTATTCCCGCCTGTTTGTGGTACCGAAGAATTCAGGGGGATGGAGAGCAATTTTGGATCTAAAATCGTTGAACCGCCATATTGTCTATCGGCGGTTCAAAATGCATTCTCTGCACACCATCCAGCAGGGAGTCAGGAAAGGTGACTTCCTCACATTGGTATACTTAGCCGAAGCTTACCTTCATATTCCCATCTTCATAGACCACCGAAAATATCTCCATTTCTCTTATGGGGGGAGGCACTTCCAGTACCAAGCTCTTCCGTTCCGACTATCCTCGGCCCCCAGGGTATTCACAAAGGTGCTGACATTCATACCGAAGTGAATAGCTGCTTCCACAGAGGTCAAGAGTTAACCTTGCCTGATTTTTGCCCGTCTCCTCGTCATGAGAGGAAGCGTAAGTGGCACACTCTTGATGTATGACGTGCCCTCAAGATCTACATTGACCACACCGCTTCGTTCTGCCACTCGGAAGCTCTCATATCCTTTCGCCAGGCCTCCTTGGATAACAAGGCTTCGTCGTCGTGTCTGGGGTGGTGGATCAGAGCCTGTAGTAAACTGTCTTATGAACTTCAGTCTTTGCAGGTTCCTCTAAACATTACAGCTCATTCTACACGTAGTGCTGCGACAACTGCTGCTTGGTCCACGCAAGCCACATTCGAAGAAGTCTGCCGGGCAGCCACATGGGCGTCTCCCACGGTCTTCATGCATCATTACAAGTTAGACAAATATGCGTCGGCTGATGCAGCTTTTGGGCACAGGGTGCTGTAACAAGTGCTTGTGCCTTAACGGACTTACTTTAGTATCCCCACCCTAGTGGACAGCCCAGTCTTTGGTACGACCCAGTCTGGCTGCTGTCTCCACAATCACAGGAGAATGGGCGTTGGTTCTTACCTGATACGCTCATTCTCTGTTGAAGTGGAGACAGCAGCCAGCCCCACCCTGGGGTGCATCACGCAATTCAGAACTTTTTTGGTGTGGAGGAGAGAGAGAAAAACAGAGGATATGGACTTGACACATGTACGTTTTTGCTCACAATTCTCACTTGAGTCTACAGTTTTCCTTCGTCTGAACTGGGGAGGAGCCACAAGGACCCAATGACGTCATAAGTGTAGACTCAATCCAATTGGTTACTGGACAGAATAAACCCAGTCGGGCTGCTGTCTCCACTTTAACAGAGAATGAGCGTATCAGGTAAGAACCAACGCCCATTCTGGGTGGCATGCAACATTATAAACAGCAGGAACCAAGATAAAAGATAAGGAATTATATACATCCAGAGGAAAATACATTAAAATTAACATGCAATATCTTCCCCCCCCCCCCCAAAAAAAAAGGGTCACCACTTATTCTAAACCAACCTCTGGGGAAAAGCCAGGATTTCAAAGACTTTTACATGGGAGTTCTGCTCTGATGTTTTTACATCCTAATTCTTGTTACTATCCAAAATTGTCAGTTGGCAAAATGCCAGCTTCCTCCTTTCAGCAGTCCCAGTGGCTGTATACTGGCAATAATCACAGGTCTCTGCTCAATGTCTCTCTGTTTCCCCTTTGATCATTCCAGTCTCCCTGTCGTTGGTTGATATTTCCTCTACTGAGTCAAGAATGGTTTGGCAGTTCTTTCTATGCTATATAGACGAAAGGACAAAAGAATAGATCTGTATGGGAAAAGCCCCTCTCCTTTCCCTTTAATGAAGTTTTCTGTTGAATAAAAATGCACTTAGATAATATAGATTCAAATTTTTGAATAATGCACTCAAATATTTAAGAGGGTATACAAGTTTTGTTTTATAAAAAAATTAGAGACCAAGTTTCCCATCTTCTCTAGCCATTTCTCTTTTTCCATTTTTGCTGCCTTTTTACGATTGTGTCTTCCTCTCTAATATCTCTTTAAAATAAAGAAATATTGCACCGAAGGATAAACTCAAACTCAAGGCCTGGGGGTGTGCTTAGATCTGGCCCACAGGGCCATCCTGTAAACAGTGAAGTACAAGCCCAAGGGGCCTTTGCCGTGAAAACGGAGCTTGCAAGGGCCGTGGGCAGCCCTCCTGATCTCCGTTTTCTCTGGCAAAGGGTTGCAGGAGGCCATCGCAGCCGAAAATGGAGCTCGGGAGCCCATTTTCGCTGGCAGACCGCTCGGGCCACCACAGGTGCCCTGATACGAGTGATGTCGAACTGGCCATGCCCCCAAGGTCAAACATAACCCTGATGCGGCCCTGAATGAAATTGAGTTTGACACTCCTAATCTAATTGGACTGAGGGTGGCACTGTGTTTTGTTAGGCTTAACATACCGTTTTGCCCCTTAACCATGTAATAAACTTCCCAAAATGAGGGAAAATGGATGTTAAATTTAAGTTTGTTCTGTATAAGGAAGAATATAATGTTAAAAGATTTCAGAAACAAGCATTTTGGCAGTTCCATAGGAAGTAGTTTTAGGGAGCTTCCCTTAGAGACAAAGAGATGGTCGGGCCACATCCCTTGCAAGGACAATACAATCCACCCTCTGGGAAAGAACTGTAGAGAGGATGACTTTTCTTTCTTTAGAAATGAAGAATTCATTTCATGGAACAGGTTTTTTATACTTTGCTTACCACTTTTATCTTAGTTATTAAATGGTCGGGTGTGGGGTTTTTTGCATGACTTTCTTTCAGGACACGTTATCGTTGACAAAAATCAAGGAATAACCTGTGCTGTAAATAAAATCAATATTATAGACAGCACGTATCGAAACTTTGAAATGGAGCTACTAGCTGGAGATGGTGCCAACATGATAACAAAGGTACTGAGACTTTCCATTGTATTTTATTCTAGCACAAAGAATGCTCTTAACATGAAGATACAAGCAGAGCAAGAAACAGACATTATTGAACGTTAGATTATGATTTCTTGTCTGCCTCACTATTCCATAGAGTTTGCAATCTGTGTTTTCAGATATCCTTGTCTAGGCTGAATAAAATTGCAGCTCTGATTAAAAGGTTCTAGTAAAAGGAATATAGCTTACCAGTGGCTGAATTTATGTAATGTCCATGCACACAGACACGTATAGTTGAATTATTGCAGAAATACATTCTGGTTTAGATCTTTTTTTCCTTCTTCACGATTGCTTTATTTAATATTCATTCATTTGGTTTGAGTACAGGTAGTTCTCAGGTTATGATCACCATTCAGTGACCATTCAAAATTACAATGGTGCTGAACAGGGTGACCTATGAATGATCTGTGAAGTTGTGAGTATTGCAACTTCCTTGCAGTTATAGGATTATCATTTGCAACCATCTCTTCCAGTTTCCCATAAGCAAAACAGACAGGGAAAGTTTCAAGTCACTCTTGTTAAGTCTCGGTTGCTACTTTTTCTTCCAAGGAGCCCTGCTATGGTGTACAAGAACCCTGGGATATCATAGCACCTCTTCATCCTCCTGTAAATGGCTCCTGAAAATGTAAATTTGCACTTGTGTATGGCCCCTGCCAGCCTACCCATCTTCAAGAGCACCCACCTCCAGCCCTGTCCCACCTACAGCACCTATCTGCCCCACAGCCTTGCCTGCTTTCCTTTTTGTCTTGGACTCCTGTCATGTGAGGCCTCTTAATGACCCACACAGTCTCTGATGCTGGATGCAGAAGATCAAGTCTACATGTGAAGGTCACACTGATTTATTGCTACTGCCTATGCACAGGAATGTTCTCAACTAACAGCACCTGCTTGGGGTTAGATAAGGGTCAACAGAATTAGCAATAGCACTTAAGACTTATATACCGCTTCATAGTGCTTTTACAGCCATCTCCAAGCGGTTTACAGAGTCAGCATATCGCCCCCAACAATCTTGACTTCCTCATTTTACCCACCTCGGAAGGATGGAAGGCTGAGTCAATCTTGGAGCTGGTGAGATTTGAACTGCCAAACTGCAACTAGCAGTTAGCTGAAGTAGCCTGCAGTACTGCACTGTAACTACTGTGCCACCTCGGCTCAAGGAAGATTGGACTTAATTCGCTTATGGTTATGTAGGGATTCTTGGCTGATCCCTCTTTTGATAACCACATCACTTAGTGACGGTCCCAATTGCCATTGTCGTGACCCGTCAAAACCGCGGTCCATTAAAGCGCGCCCGACGAAAGCGCGTACCTGACGTCATCAGCAGCACGACGAAAAAAATTAAAAATAAAATAAATAAAAATTAAATTAAAGCAAGCCGATTCACATAAAGATAAGGGTTAGGGTTAGGTTAAGGGTTAGGGTTAGGGTTAGGTTTAGGGTTACGTTAAGCGTTAGGGTTAGGGTTAGGTTAAGGGTTAGGGTTAGGGTTAGGTTTAGGGTTACGTTAAGCGTTAGGGTTAGGGTTAGGTTAAGGGTTAGGGTTAGGGTTAGGTTTAGGGT